CGGCCGTCCGTCACCATGTTTGCCAGCGCGTCCCGGACGCTAATTCTGCCGGGACACGTCTGATCAGACGCAACTGGCGGTACGCGCAGTACGACTGGTATGCCTTCGTCCGTCAAGTATCCAGCGATTTTGCTTCGAACATCTTCCGGTAGACGATTCAGGATCTCACCAGTCAGCCTTCGGCAAGACAACGCGCCATAGTCATAGACTGCACGATTCAGGTCCCTATACCATCCATTAATGTCATTGTCAGGCAAGTTCAAGAGGAACCTATTCATACTCGGTGGCTGAGTTATACGCCCGCGTCTGGGCGGAGCTAAAGCACAGGTACTTGTGAACGGGCTTGTAGCATTCGTCCCAGCTAGCGCCTTCTCCGGCTTTATCGATGGACTTTTGAATCTTCTTGCGAACTTTTCTTATGCAGTCCGCTACGTATTGCCGCGTTTTAATGGCACTGGTAGCGTGTTAATGCCGGCGCGCCGGTAGTCTACCCTGTTACGTCCAGGGCTAGGTACTCACCGAAGTAGCTCCCGTCGCGTAGTGTCTACCACCCTAGTCGTAGGAGTGTCAGCACCACGGCCTGTCAATGCTGTGAAGTACTCTTGGATATCGATGCGTCTCGTTGTTAGAGGGAGATTTCGGAGCGGTTGTCCCACTGGTGCGTCCATGGTGTTGCTGGATTGACAGGGAGGGAAGTTGTACCACGGTGACGTCCTTGCGGGGGCGTAGCACGCTAAGGGAGGCACGGGCGTGTCACGTCCAGGCACCTGCATCCTTCGACGCAAGGCATTGCACATCAATTCCCATGGGCTATAAAGTGCGATGCTCGTATCTCATTACAAAAGGTTGCAAATAACATCGACGACGCAGTCACCTGGTGATTGACTCTCTGAAGTCCCAATACTGTTACTCGCGTGTTGCATCGAACGATGTAATATCCCGCGCTCATACGCGTCCGTTGCACGCGACAGAACCGACTTCGCGACACGCCCAGAAGCATGCGTATTTAAGTTCTATCGAGCGCATGCAGATAATTCCAACCTGGGTCGTCGTGTATTCTACAGGCATATCCACATGTAGAAGATCAACCAGTGGAACACGAAACATCGACTTCGTCAGAGCACCAGTGCCAGACAATCTCAATTTGAGGCAAGATGTCCAGATGGGAGGTGGTCATGACGGTTCTCTTTTTCTCGCGCGTCTCATGGGAAATAACAACCTCAATGCTGCCGCTCAACAAGGAGCTGCACAAACCTCAACCAGTGCCCGATGCTCTAGACCTAAGGTCGACAATGAAAGCTAAGGCTGCAAAGTTCTCCAGTGTTGCTGTCAAGGAATCGATCGCTTCACCATAAACAGTAAAGCCAGTGTTGAGACTACGCGGTCTCTCATCCGAGTCATACCCTGACCGGCTCAGTGAAGAGCAGCTCCAATTCCATCGCGACGAGGGCTACCTCGTTGTCCCAGATGCGTTGCCAACGGAAGACGTAGCCGAGCTTCTCCGTAGTGTCCACGAGAGCGCGGAGATCCTGGCGAACTCCGATGACAAGCGTGTCAAGTTGCACACGTACGACGAGGGCCAAGATCACTATGTTTCGCCTATAGGTCGCCTTCTGGCGCTGCCTTCGAAAGGTAAGCATCTCAACGCAGACGTAATCCAGCGGGTCTGATTGCTGATGAATCCGGTGGCCCCACAACCCTGCATCGAACACCTACAGCGTATCCAGCGTCTAGCGTCCGGCATTCATCGCCTGATGCCGTCGTTCCGGGACGCAATCATGAGCCAGACCCATGTCGATATATGCAAGGCACTTGGATATATCGATCCGCGGATCGTGCAAAGTCTCATCATCGTCAAAGCAGCTCAAGTCGGCGCCAAAGTTGTGCCTCATCAGGACGGCTGTTCAGGCTTCACCGATCCACCCAGTTGCACGACATTCTGGTACGCCCTCGAAGATGCGACCATAGACAATGGATGTCTGGCTGTCGCTCCAGGTAGTCATATAACGCAGCCTCTCACGCAAAGATGTCGCGTGGGTAAGAACGGCTTACCCGAGTTCGCTGACTTGGCAAAGCCAGTGTATGCCAGCGTTGAGGGATTGTCGGCCAACGCCGCGGCTCCAGAGAAGGATGTGGAAGGAAATTTCGTATACAAACAACTCGAGGTGAAAGCGGGGACACTGATATTGATGCATGGTAATCTCATGCACACTAGTGAAGCCAATGAGAGTGGAAAGAGCCGTGTCGCATTCAACTTTGGCGTGGTTGAGGGGATGCATGAGTGGTTAGCAGATAACTGTTTGCAGCCTTACGAGGGTGAGACGGAGTTTGAGCAGCTTCGTGCCTGTTAGTGAATGTATATGCAGTGGAAGCGCATGTGCGAAAGGGTAGTGTAGAGAAGGAAGGCAGCCCTGGTGTCGATAGCTCGGGCTCGGGGTTGGTGGGTTCTTAGGCGATGACGCAATCATGCATGACGTAGCCTGCTCAACACGGACCCCTAAAGCTCGTCAACGCCTCGTTCTTGATGCATACGTAGGTCTCTATCTGATCGAAGGGCCTGTCTATGATTGACCCAGGAGGTCCTCGCCGAATCTGACATCGATGCAGTGAGTAGACGGAAGACAGTGTATAGCTCCAGGCTACAGGGTAGCTCTTGCCTGCCAGACACGAAGGCACAATGTATCTACGAGACATAGCGCACAAACCCGTACAACGCGCTGCAGAATCAAAGACAGTGACTGGTGGAAGTTGTAAAACAAGAACTTCCCGCTTACCCATCTTCGCTGCACGTAAGCTGGCTATGCCTGTCCGTCTCGCTTGTTGTCAGATTCCAATCGCGCCTGCCGTCTTGTGCAGAGTGCAGGCGCGAACCCCACCACATCTCATGCCGCCCCTTCAAACACTGTTCACCCCGTCTCACGGATACTCCCGCTTTGTCACCACGATATGAACCCGACGTTACCTCAAGCGCCCTCATGGTCAGAACAAACTGAACGCAGCATCTGTAGCTGGGATCATGGTTGGCATCACTGGAGTTACGGTAATCATCAGGGGAATATCACCCTGTCAAACGTGCGCGAGGCTGCACGCGATGGCTGCGTTCGATGCAAGCTACTTCTTCGAGGAATTGAGATATACACGTTTCCTCCTTACCGTCCTCATCGAACTACCGAAGCCACTCTGAGCGAGTACGAGCCCGATCGGCGTCTCTTGGTTAACGTCCGCAACAATCCAGACACACCCTTAACCGTGGAAGTGCAATACACGGGCATGGCAAGTAAATCGGGGAGTTTACCCATGGAGTTATATTTCTACACTCATCCCGGTTCGTTTATCACCACAGCACCCACGACATGCACTTACTATTCCCAGACAAGCCACCCTACTTTTCGGATGTTCAGCCAGCAGGACATATTACGGCTGACCCTGCCTCCCAAGCTTGCTTCGACGTAGTCAGAGAATGGATTAGGAAGTGTCATACTCTGCACCCACAATGCTCTCCCCGAACAGATATGTCAACGACACCAACGAGGCTCATCTCAGTCGGTTCATCATCAGATGACATCAAACTCTGCAGCTTGGGGGATATACCAGCTGATAGCCGATACGTTGCCTTGAGCCACACCTGGGGTGTTAAGGAAGAACGGAGGAAAGCCATGCCCTTGCTCTTGACTGGAAACATCTCTACTCGCATGCTCGGCATACCATGGGACGAGCTCACGCACACGTTCAAGGACGCTATTACGATTACCAGGAACATAGGCATCCCATATGTCTGGATCGACTCATTATGCATTGTGCAAGATGACCAAGGAGACTGGGCTAAAGAAGCCTCGCGTATGGCATCAGTCTACAAGTACGCCTACCTGGTCATCGCTGCGACAAGCTCGAAGAATGGCGACGATGGATGTCTTCGTCCCAGAGTCCCAAGCCACGACTTATCTGACCCAGTCAATGGTAGCTTTCATGTACAACGACAGATATCTCACCGCACAATCATTGAATGGCAAGCAGAGAGTATCGACATGCCTCTTCTGGATCGAGCGTGGTGTTTTCAAGAGCGGCTGCTCGCCTCCCGGATACTTCACTATACCGAAAGCGAGATGATGTGGGAATGTCAAGAACAGCTCTGGTGTGAATGCCAGCTCATCCAATTCGACGATCCATCGGCAAGGTCCAGTTTCGACAATCCATTGACAATGAAACTAGACACATTCAAGCTTTCTTACGCCGCCGCGATGGCATCGATAGACCCTGAAATACGGGCGACATCATGGGACAAGGTCGTGAGAGAGTATTCTCAGCGGGCATTAACGTTCGGCACGGATCGACTTCCTGGTATATCTGGAATCGCTAAAGAAATTGCGCTACCATCGATGGGCAGATATCTGGCCGGTCTATGGGAATTTCAACTCCCTGAAGCACTCTTGTGGAACACGGTAGGTGGAGTGATTGACCGTCCATGGGTACTTCCAAGACCTTTGCGATATGCGGCCCCCACGTGGTCTTGGGCGTCGACACTTACAGCCGTGGCTCTTAAAGAAAAATATCCATCGGCCAAGTCCACAGTATCAGTCTGTCAGGTGATAGATGTGACATGTACACCACAGACCGCAAATCCTTATGGACACGTTCGAGATGGGCGATTGAACATATCCGGGCCGACAATAGGAGCGACCCTGATGCGCACAGATCGTGTATCCGAAGCCACACGCTACGATGTCTTCCTGGAAAACCCGAACTCTGAGGCACCAGAGAGGTCAGCAAACCTCGACATCACGAGTGATATTGAGCTGGTAAAGACTGTGGTAAGTGTGGTGCTATTGGTTATAGAGACCTGGTCCTATGACACGAGCTCTGAACGCCGAGTTGCCTGTCTCGCACTGGTCAAGTCAAAGACACACAGTGAATGTTATGAGAGGGTCGGAGTCATCAGCGGACGAGGACTGGAGCTGTCTCAGACCAAGGAGAGTGAACTCATTATCGTTTAGCATGTACATCTACACTTTCTGCTCCGCCATCCACTTCTCAGCCTCCTTCTTGTACTCCTCTCTCCACCTCGTTAGTGGCGGTCTCTCATTCACAATATCGCCTACACTCCACAACATCCTCTTCTTGTCTGTTTCCTCCGTGACCTGGTCGTCAGGACAGATGATGTAGAATTTCTTGGCCTGCATCTTGGTGTACATATAATCTGCTACTTGGTCCGCTGACCACGCACCCTCCGGTTTCGCTTTCGTCGAGCCTGGCTCGTTCCCTGACTGTGATGCGCATTAGTTATTGCCAATTAACAAGAGTGACGCAACTAACAAGCCCTGTAAACGTCCACCCCGGAACCAACAAATGCACCCCAACACTGGTGTCCTTGAGATCATAGCTCAAGTGCTCAGCCAGCGTCTTCACAGCCGCTTTACTAGCATTATACGCGGGGTTGCCAGGCGGGTTCGTGATACCCTGTTTACTCCCCGTAATCACAATCGCACTCTTCCCCTCCCTGTCTTCCCCCGCCCTCTCTTTGAAACTCGGAACATACGCATTCAAACCATTCACCACACCCCCTAGATTCGTAGCCAGGATTTTATCAAAGTAATCTTCATCGCCCCACGTCCCTTTCCCGCCAATGCCCGCATTCAGCATAAGGAAATCGACGTCGGTGCCGACTTGTTGGCGGATGGACGACCAGTCTGAACGCGAGGAGACGTCGGCTTGGATGCATTTTACGTCGCCGGAGAGGTTCTTGCGCGCGATTTCGAGCGAGGATTGGTTGAAATCGACGATGGAGACGCGCATTGAGTGTTTTAGGCAGAGTTGGGCGACGGCGTAGCCGACGCCGGATGCGCCGCCTGTTATGAGGGCGTGGGCTGAGGGGCGGAAGACGGACATTTTCAGCTTTTAGAAGAAGTTGAGGTTTTCTGGGAGATTGAGTTGAGGGTGTATAGTCAGTTAATTGGAAGGGGAGGACGTGGTGCGGTCGTCTTCGAGAGATACCGAGGTGATGTCATGCGGGGTTATGTTATCTCCGGTGCGGAACTTGGTGTGAACTATAACGCAAACTCGATAGCGTGTACACCTTCCAGCTACACTGTTTCTAAGTAACCAGAGGCTCACAATTTTCGCAATGCTTCTTGTGAACATGTTTCATGTATATACCCGAGCACATCGCCAATGACAACTTGCGAAAGGTTGCATGTGATGAAATGTGTACGTTTATATTAAGATTACTTACAGTAAGGAAAAAATTGGGTATCTACCGTATTGTCACGTCTTCTTCCAAACTTCCTCAATCTGTCCCCATCTCTCTCCCTAGCTGCAGGAATCACGGCTTCCCACCATCACCACTACCACCCAAACCCAACACATCCATCGCAGTCTCAAACCTCTCAACCCCCGGCCTCTCCACCTTCTCACCCTCTTCCGCCCTCTCCTCCACCACACCATCACTAAACAGCCCCGCCCCAGCCCCAGCAGTAAAGAAGCGCTCAACACCCGGCCTCTCCTCCTTCAAAACCTGCTCATTAACGCTCGCACCCCCAGGCACCATACTACACTCACCAGCTGGAAACATACTACCCAGCTGCTTCTCTCCCTCATCATCCCCCTCAACAGCCGGCGGCGTAGTAACATTCACACTCGCAAGCGTAAGCGTACTAGCATTAACATCCCTTCCATCCGGGCCATCAACTTTCAAACTAAACGGATACGCGATACCGCCAGCCGTTGGCCGCGTAGTCAGGGTATCCGTTTCAGGAATAATGGTGCTGGAGTTGTCGGGGTTGTCCGAGACGATGATGTTGGGTGGGACACCGGGGGAGCTGAGTTCGCTAGTGGGGGAGGGCAGGGGCGAGGCAGAGCGTTCAGGGGCGAGGGTTGTTGCGTCTGCGAGGCCCGGGGTGGGCAGGACGATCTTTGAGAGGTCGTCCATTGGAAGCCCGGTTTGGCCTTTGTCGGTTACGGCGGAGTGGCGGGAGTGGGAGCGTGAGCGTTTTACGGCTGGGGCGGTGAGGTTGTTGGCTCGGCTGCGGGTTGGCGCGCTTTCTGTTGTGCCGTCGATGGCTGTATTGGCTGGATCTTGAGTAGAGGTTGAGGCCTCGGTGTCGGGGTTCTGGTCTGCTTTCTCTTCGCGGACGATCTGGGGCGTGTTAGTAACGTTGTCGTGGCTGACGTTGAGAGTGAGTACACTTACAGTAGCTGAGTCATGCTTACTGCCCCATCCAGCCCACATCGACATACCCCAACTCCTCTTCTTCGCCTTCTCGGCTTTCATGCCCTTGATCCTTCTACCAGCCAAGGCAGTCGGTGGGGGTGTCTCGCCCTCGAAGCCTTCGAAGCCTTTCTGCATGTCCTTAACACGCTGCTTCTGGATCTTGATCTTCTGCTTGGAGAATTTGTTGTTCCACTGGGATTGCGCTTTCATCCATTTGCTGACGGGTCCTGTCTTTGGCACGCCCACATCAACGCTAGGAATGTTCAGTGCAACAAGCTCTTCCTTTGGAGCGAGTGCATAGATGCGCCCGTGTCGATCGATGCGCTGGCGAATCATATGGCGCTCGAATGGCGGAATCGCGTCACCAGCTCGGCCAACGCGTGCATCTTGAGCGGCTTTCTTCTCGGCTTTGGTGGGCTTGGGGTGCTTGTTCGATGATTTGGGGTCGTCGGACGAAGAACCGGAGCCAGCCTTGTCAGATTCGGACGAAGTGCCTGAGTCACTGCTCATGAAGGAGATGTCGTCATCGTCGAGGATGTCGATGGACTTCTTCTGGGCGCGTGCAAGCGCCCAAGCACCAAACTGGGCTATACTACGGTACATGTGCTTTGCTGGGCGGGTGAAGCTGAGCGTAGGTGCGACGTGACATAGATCATCCCAGACCTGGAGCTGAACGTTCGTGGGCCTGTAGCTGGCGGCTTGGGCTTGTATGGACTCAGCAGTCTGGTTGTTTGAAGGTGGTGGTATGTAGGCCAGCGGTTGCGCAGCTTTGTGGGCGAGGTAGATCTGCTCGTCTCTGAGTAGCTCCCCACCTCCCGTTTGGATGAGGAGAGGTGGCAGCCCTCCGAGTGTTGGCTGCAGCACCGGCGATACCAGAGGATGTGTCAAGAGATGATTCGGGGCGTACATCTGGATCTGGTCCTTGATCTCGACGCGTTCATCTTCCAGCTGGACTGATAGCTGGCTCTTGGGTCCAATGCTGTATTTGCCATTGGACGAGATCCAAGTACCCATGCCTTGTCCTGTAGCTGATGGATCCGCGACCTCTTCTAGAGGTGGTCGATCTCCAGATTGGACGGAGTAACCTCGTACGCGCTCGGCCTCCGCCTCCTTCTTTGCTGCCTTGTCCTCCGTCTTGTCTGAGCTGTTCTTCTTCTTGTTCGAGCCCTGGAGGGATGTTTCGATGTCCAGCATATCGTCTGCGTTGGGAGGTGCTGTATGGGGTCAGTAGTAGCTCGTCGACACGGACACGACCAACTTACGCCAGCTCATGCTCGGCTTGTGGATGAAGCCGTGTGAGGGAATGTAGTCCATCTTGCCATCGCCACCCAGACTAGGGAAGCTGTGTGTCAAGTCTACCCATGGACTGATCAAGATGGCTCCTGCGGGCAATGGTATGCCTTGGTCGCGCATTGTCACGAGCATGCTGATTACCATGCCGCCACCTGCCGAGTCGCCAGCGAGTATAATGGTCGTAGGGTCGTGCTTTTGCTCGAGGAGGTAGAGGTAGGCGGCCAGACCTGGAGGTGTTAGTATTCCTTCCTTGACATCGAGCAAGCCACTTACAGTCGTGCAGACCACATGGGAAAGGAAACTGAGGCGCGAGTCTGTATTTGGGCGCCAGCACCCTAGCCTTGAGCTTGCGCGCATGCCGCTGCATCTGATAGCGATGCTCGTCGACGCTGCCAAAGAAGTATGCGCCGCCATGAACATAGAGCATTATGCGGTCGCCTTTGGTGATTGCCAGCTGTTTCCTCGCGTCGTAGTCCTTGCGCATCTCGATCCACTCGGCCTTGAGGGTTGTGCCTTCGCGTCTCCACTGCCACCAATTTGTTCCTCCGACTGCCTTGATGCCTTCAGGCCCCAATTGTGCATTGAGGAGTTCAGCTGAGCGCTGTAGTAGAGTCGCGGAAACCTCGACTACATTCACGTGCACCCAGCGCGGCACTGGAACCCATTGCGACGTGAAGGCTTGCAATTCGTCGACCGTGTGGAAGGAGGCATAGTGGAGAAAGCGGCGGATGAGTTCGAGGCCTTCGTGGTACGAGATGTGCGCCGTGGGCTTTTGCGCAAGAGGTCGGCGATTGAGGTAATGCGAGAGATATGTCTGGATAACCGTGGGCGTCACAGCCGCGCCCACAGAGATGGTGTTGACAGGCATCGCGACTCGGGCTTCAGGGGTGCGGAGCTATCCGAGGTGGCGTAAGACGCGCCCAACGACTGTCGCGTGGGAACTTGGATGGTATGCTGAGAATCTTCCACTGCCGGGAATAACAGAAACACGTTCTAACAAAGGAAAATGTACGAGTTGTGAGAAACACAGGGAAAGCTTCGTGAGCCTTAGGGGTTGGGAGTGGAGATGGTCCCCCGGATTTTCGGTGCACCTCCCAACCCCTGCACGACCCGCCTGTACGACGTCATCGAGACCCTTTTCTACATTATCCGAGCGTGTGAACCACGAGATGGCAGTTGATCGTTACCATGCCCGGCGCTCAGCATCAGCTTGAGAGCGTCGTCATCAGCATTTTATCAGCCATCTTAATCCAATCCGGCAGTCGATCGTTTATCAAACAAGTGACTATGACGCGATACGAAGCTCTGCTTGAAAGAGGAAGCCTTGGTCCAGTAGAGCATAATTGGGTCAAGACTATTGCAAGCACTTTAGTTGTACTCCGAGGTAGCGCTGTTTCAAGATCGCATTCAAGTCGCGCTTGGCTAGTAGTATGGCAAGTATTTCGTACGACAAGACGGAGCCCTCGAGTAAGGACAGTGTGCAATTCACGTCTCAGCTTTTGCATGATGCGACCGCAAAAGCACTTGTGTTGTCGAATAGTGAAGATGACATGGACCTCTTTCACGTGTTACCGGAGTTAGCCCGTCGACACGTGCCGTCTGAAATAGTGCTAGCGCATCTCGGGCTTAGTCATCAACATCTCGTCTCACCTGGACAGCTTGTTGCAGGAGCTTCCACCATCCTCGCGCACCCATTTCACCCATTTCGCCGACCAACGGCTGTCATCAAGAAAATGGAATTGATCGCACCAGTTACGATACCGAAATTTGTTAGCGTAATAGTAGAGCCGATAATTGCTCTCGGCGCCTACAGCGCAGCATGCGGCGGGTTCACCTGAGCGGGGCATCTGCCACGTCCACAACCAGGGTTTGCAGCGCGTCTATTTATCCTGCATCGACCTGACTCAGGCACATACCTAAACTGTCGGCAGGACGGGAGTCACCGAGGCCTCCCGCTGTCAAGATCTTTGTCTCAGATTACTGGCTTTCCGCCGGGCCGACGCGAGGACGCCTGAAGTCAGAAAGCAGGCCTCTGGGCCTGAGTGCAATCCGCTGAATCGGAACACGGCCTTCCAAAGACGTCTCTCATGACCTCTGCTCGAAAATCACATGCGCGTGAGCGCACGAGGAACCATGCAGCTAGAGGCCCGAATTGTGCGCTGCACGCGCATGCAGGAGACGTACTCCGTATCCTATCTGGTCTCTCGGTGCGCGAGGGTCCTTCCCATTGGGCCCTGCCATACGATGCGGGATGTTCCAGCGTGCAGCCGAGCATCGTCAAGGGCGTTGGGTAGCACCAGTGAAATGCTCCAGATAGCTGACACATCAAGCACTACTCCGAGAACATCGTCCTGCATAACGCCGCCGTGTAAGCAACATGAGCCCGACCAAGCGGAAGTATAATGGGTAGTTTGAACGCAAGACGGGAAGCTTCACTTCACATCATCTTCCTCTTGACGACTGCTTCAAGTGCACACAACGTTTAGACAACATGATTGCTGAACACAAATCCACCCTGCTTGAGCTGGCCAAGGAAGTCCAGCAGTTGACCACACAGATCGTCGCCGATTTGACCGAGAAGAAGGTGCCGGAGCCTTCATTCGCCATCGATTCAGACACCATTCCCGAAACTCCGGAGCACATCAAGTTGCGCGATAGTCTCAATGATGCTGCTCGTGACCTACTCCGTCTTGTCAACGGCCCCAGGAACGATGCACGAACATTCGTGTGCTATCTATATGATTTGGCGGCCTGGCAAGTAGCATGCGAGTTCAACTTCTTTGAAGCTATTCCAGAAGATGGATCAGCTACCACCAAAGAGATTGCTGAGAAGGCCGGCATGGACGAAGACCGCATCGGTCGCTTCCTCCGTATGCTGTCCTCCGATCGCGTCTTCGAAGAGGTTGAGCCGGGTGTGTTTAAGCACACGTCAAGAAGCGTACTTTACTTGAAGGACACGCAGTGGCGCGATGTCATGGCCTACCAGTGAGTGTTTGACTAATCTTCTACAAGTCGATCCAACGCTAACTCGTTGGAAGATTGGATGAGTTCTTCAGGGCAGCTTCAGAGACCTCGGAGAGCATCAAGGAGTCACCAACAGTGACAGATGGCAAGAGAAATGCATTTGTGACGCGACATGGTACCGTCCTCTTCGATTACTACAAGCAAGATCCCAAGCGAGCAGCTCGCTTTGCCAGTGCAATGGCGGGGGTCTCAAGGCGTAAGTCATTGATATCCTTGTACAAGCTCATAACTAAACGACGCAGTTGAGAGACATTTTGACAACCTCAAAGAGAGCTTCCCATGGGACAAGATTAGTGGCCGAAAAGTCATTGATGTTGGAGGTGGAAGCGGCCACATGAGCGTCAATCTTGCTCGGGTATGCGGATAAGATGCCGAAGACACTATGCGCGCTTTACTGACTATGCAAAGACCTTCCCCAACCTGGAGCTCATCGTCCAGGACTCATTGACCATGCTGTCGTCTGCATCACAAAACGACTTCTCGGATCTCAATGGCCGAGTCACGTTCATGCCACACGACTTCTTCACCAAGCAGCCTGTATCGGGTGCAGCGGCGTATCTCCTGCGGTACATCACTCACAACTGGAGTGACGAAGACTGCATTCGCATCTTCAGAGCACTAGTCCCTGCTTTGGAGAAGAGCCCTGCCGGGACGCCGATCTTGATCAACGATGTGGTCATGCCAGCCCTTGGTGAAGCCTCTCGATACACGGACAACCGCATGCGCCAGGTCGATCTCATGATGATGTTGATGCTCGGAGCCAAACAACGGTCGGAGGAACAATTCCGTCGTCTGCTTTCAGATGCCGACCCACGCCTCAAGGTGAGCTTATCAGTGAACAGCATACAAGTGGCGCGGTACTGACTTGTCTCGCAGATCAAGGCCATTCACGGCAAAGGCAACATGAGTTTGATTGAGGCGTATCTCGACGCTGAGGGCGCTCCCGCAGCGCAAGAGTCGGCTGATGTCAAGAGCTCGGCTGCTGAGGATGACGCCGAACAGCTGCAGGGAGAACCCGCTCAGGAAAGTACCAAGCGCACTGCGTCTCGCATGTAAGGAGAGTCTCAACGATGTTATTTCCGATGTAGCATTCATTTACCCTAGCCAATCGTTGTGAAGTTGGGAGAAGACGAGTCAGGCCATGTACTTGCAGATACCTCATTTGGATGAAAAACACGTATTCTGCGGCTACCCTTCCCTTCAAAGAATCGACTGCAGGTTGTGAAGTCTGCGACTGCTCGTATCGGGGCGTGCCTGCTGTGGCGCTTGCTGCCAAGCGGTTTAGCCTGAAAATGCCCCTCGTCATCATCTGCGCGCGCCGAACCTCAATCCTTCCATCCTCATCCACCCCACGCGTTCAGGCCGACATGGCACCGCAGCCATGTCACCCGACGCGCGCAAAATTTGTTACACGAACAGGAACGAAGCGCGCTACAAGCAGCGGTAACCTTGCTATTCGATGACGGGCATGCACGCGCTCCACTTCGGCTCGTCTATAACGGGGCAGCTCCACACCACTTCGGCTCATTCTGTACTCCCTTGCAGTTACACACAGTTGCAGGATCGCATTCATGGGTGAAATCCTTCGCGTCTTCCTAAACGCCATGCATTCTGCAGGCTACACCGCTGCTTCCTGCTCCTTCGGGGCGGCACGCTTGAGGCGTTCGGGTGGCTTCCCATTGCCTGGCGAAGTCCCGTGATAGGCTGTTGCGGTTGTCGCTGATTCCGACGTCAAGGACGAAGTTGCTACTCCACCACTGATCTATCTCAGGCCGAAGCTCTCCCGCCACTACCTCTGGTAGCGACCAACAACTAACAGCCACGTAACAGGATAGATCGCGATAGTCTGATCGTTCACCTTACTCAAGCGAACAAGGTCCCAAATAAGTGGCTACGCATGCATGACCTTAGCATGATGTCTGTTCTGGGAATCGAGCGGCGGTAGCCTCCACAGCCTTTCCCGATTTGACCAGGATTTGTCAATAACAGGATGGAATTCCGAAAGAGCAACAACCATTGGGCAGAGAAAACTTGGAATGCAGATATCGATGTCTCTTTGTGTTGTCGACGGATGCGTCTGCGCAATGCTCGCCATGGGCTCCACGACAACCGAGTGCGCGAAGGATGCGCTACTGATATACCCTGGCCTCATGTACTGTACGGGAGCGTTCTCGTCTCTGTGCTTGATTACTAGGCAGTTGGTTTACGCGTGGCAGAGGATGCGATTAACACTGTGCAGCTAAGCGCGTCAGGGAGGGCCGCTTTCCGCGACGTACGCAAAACCCCAGTGATCAGTGTGGCTCCTCATCGCCGAACCTCGTCTGGGGGTATCTCGTGTCGATTAACAAGGGCTCTCCTGATCCTACCTTTAGAAGCCTCTTCGATGCCATCTTATCAACGGCCACATTGACCAGCTGCGTTTGCTTCAACATCTTTTCGTGCTAAGTCGTCCACAAAGTTCAACACTTTTCATGATCTCTCACGACAATGGCGTATGAAGATACCAAGCCAATGCCCATTGCCATTGTTGGCTTTGGCTGTCGATTCCCAGGCGACGTTACAAACGGTGAGAAGCTATGGCAGATGCTGGTCGAGAAGAAGTCGGCTCGTACCGAGGTACCTCCAGACCGCTTCAATGTCGATGCATTCTACAACCCCGATGGGGATCGTTTTGGGACGGTAAGCTTACGCCATCTACCGTACGGACCGCTCCGCTGACCCAGTTCTAAGTGCAACAACCGCGGCGGGCATTATCTCGCTGAAGATGTCTCGCTTTTTGATGCGCCGTTCTTCTCGATATCGCCAGCCGAGGCGATGGCCATGGACCCCATGCAGCGGTTACTG